ACCCCTTCCTCCTGCTCTTCCGGCCTGCTACTCTGTGCTACGCCTGTGCTTACCTTGCTCCCGAAGACCTGATCCCTCTCGGTAGGGTAACAAGGGAAACGTGTTCAGTGCAGATCAGTGAGTAAGCACAAGCCCGCCTTGTTTCAGTGCCTATGCTTAAAGTCTAGACACCAAATATATGAACATAGAGAAGCTCTATACTACTGTCATAACTTATTGGCTTGCTCGTAATTTTCAATGTTGTCATAAACATATAAATTGATATGAAAAATACAAACTCTAAAATAATCTATATAATAAATAAACAAAAGTAGAAAGATACAAGCATACAAAATTGAAATTGTTATTTTGATAATGTTTGAAGTGATGTAAACTTAAAGGTATCATTCACCAACTGCTCTACTTTTCAATTTATTTCTGAATTTCAAGACTGTCATGTCCATTTTTTAAAATGCTCATCTTTAAAATTACTGCCTTGCTAATTTTTCTTTCATTAATAATATAATTACCAACACCAACAAAACAAAAGATAGATGATTCTTATTTTGGATGAGATGCTTCATTAAAGGGAGCTCTGGTAGTGGAGTGCCTAAGGGACTTGACTGCTAACCAGAAGGCTGGTGGTTCAAATCCACCAGCTGCTCCTTGGAAGGAAGGTTGGGCAATCTACTTCCATAGTGATACTGCCTCGGAAACCCAAGGAAGGGTTGCTATGAGTCAGGTCCGACTCAGACGGCACATAACAACAACAATGCTTCAAAAAGGAACATACAGCTTGAGTTAATTTATACTTACTCTAGTTAACGTCTCGGACCACTGAAATAAAATCTAGAATACTGTGTGATCAAGGAAAAAATTTGATCTAGATGGTTTATTTTTCTGGTAAATCAAAGGCTTTATTTTATTTTAATTCTTGCTGATAAAAATACCAGCATCTACTACATAAAATCTCTCTTTAAGAAATCATCACTGTATGTTCATTATTATTTTAGTATCCAATATTATTCTCAAATATATGAAATATAGAATGTACTAGAACAGATTGAAAGTACAGAAATACTAGGATACACTAAGAAAGCTGAATTTTGAATATAATTCAGCTGTCTACTAGGTGGCTTATTTGCTTCTGACTTGTTAAAAAAAAAAAAAGGGTAAGGCTTGAGTTTCTGATTTAAAAATGTTTAGAATTTATACAGATCCAACATTTTCTTATGATTTCAGTTCTTTCAAGGAAAGGAAACACCCAGGAAATTAAATATATTAAGTAATGTAGTATCTGTGTCCTATAAATATATATATATATATCTTTTTACCAAAAAAAAGTGTGATACATTCTTTACATTATTTATCTTTCATGACTACATGTACTTATAGATTGACTTGTATTACACCTGATTTTTTCATTACAAATATGAACAATGTAAAACTTTCACTGATACTAAAAAATGGTCATTATTATGACCATTAATGTGTATTTAAACTATGTTTTTAAAACTATCTTCAGAACATTTCATGTTTCTCATGTAAGTATTTTCTACCATCTATGACATGGGTACAGCATGTCTTGCTTTGAGGCCTTAACAGCTTTTTTGTAAACAAACAACACTTACAGCCTATGCTTCTTGCCTCCACACTAAACACCATACTTATTCCATCACTAGGCACAAAAATAATCTGTACTTTCATTCACAAATTTCTTGGCTGAAAATAATTTTTTATGCTACCATATATAATACACATAACAAGACAGATACAGAAGAAATTTATAATCTGTTACATTAAAAATAAATGATCACACAATTTTGCCTAGTTCAGCAGATAAACAGTATCATAAACCCAAACTAAAATCATATAGATTATCAGTTATTAATACAAGATTAATCTCTGCACCTAGTACCATGCTAAGATATAGTCAACAACAAGCAGAATAAGAAGATAACATTTGAGGAACTGGCCTCACCTCTGCCTCTCCGGCTCTCCATCCACATCTTCATCAGCACTGCATGTGGCACTGGAATCATTGTCTGACTGAGGCTCAGGCCTCTGGGCACTGATTTGCTGAGCCATGACCAAATCTTCATCTCTAGCCTCACTCTTCTCACTCACTCTCTCCAAATCTCTATCTTTGGTATCACCTTCAACTTCAGCTGCACTGTTTTCCAGCACCTTCATTTCAGCATCTACAGAGTCAGCTTTGCTCATTGTTGGTAGTTCAAGAGCAGAATTCACTTCAGCATTATGTTCCTGATGATCCATGCCCGTGGGTTCTGCCGTTTCAACACTGATGTCATTGGCTTGGGTCTCCACACTTTCATTTTCAGCATGTTTTGTAGTTGGGCCTACTGAGGAGGGAGATGTACTGGGTGCAGTTTCAGAGCTGGATTGTATCTCAGCCACAGACTCGGTGTTTCCTTGAGAAGTACCATTTTCAGTGTTATCTTCACTGGGCTTGACAGCTTCAACTGGTGAAGGAGAAGGAGCACTTTCTGTATCAGAACTATTTTCAGCACCTTAAAGATAATGACACACCATAAAAATCTAATAATGAACGTGTGTCACGTGGTGACAGAGACCATGCTTGAAGCTGATTTTTTAGGATCAAGACACAGATACTTCTTTTATGACCCTGGTGGTGTATTACAGCCAACAGGAAGGCTAAACTGTTCTATACAGTATGAAAATGAACCACAACTCAACCTTCAGTTTATCGTACTGTGGTGGCTTGCATGTTGCTGTAAGGATGGAGGCTATGATACTGGTATTTCATATACCAGCAGGGTCACCCATGGTGGACAGATTTCAGTGGAGCTTCCTGACTAAGACAGTCTAGGAAGAAGGATGGGGTCATCCACTTCTGCAAAAATTTGCCACTAAAACCTTATGAATAAGACTGAAATACTGTCTGACAGGCAGCTGGAAGATGAACCCCCTCAGGTCAGAAGGCACTCAAAATATGAATGGGGAAGAGAAACTTCCTCAAAGTAGAGTTGACCCTAATGACGTGGATGGAGTAAAGCTTTTGGAACCTTTATTATCTATCAGGGCATGACTCAAAAGGGGAAGAAACAGCATTAATAATCAGAAAACGGAATGTACAAAGTATGATATTAGGAAAACTGGAAGTTGTCAAAAGTGAAATGGAACACACAAAGATCGATGGATCAATATCCTGGGCATTAGTGAGCTGAATGGACTGGTATGGGTCATTTTGAATTGGACAACCAAATGGTCTACTATGCCAGGAATGACAAATTGAAAAGGAATGGTGTCATATTCATCATCAAAAAGAACAATTCAAGATCTATCGTGAAGTACAATGCTGTCAGTGATGGGATAATATCCATACGCATACAAGAAAGACCCGTTAATGCTACTATTATTCAAATTTACACACCAGCCAAAGGTGAAGAAATTGAAGATTTTTACCAACTTCAGCAATCTGAAATTGACCAAGCATGCAATCAAGATGTATTGATGATTACTGGTGATTAGAATGCAAAAGTTGGAAACTATGCCTTGGTGATAGAAATGATGCTGGAGATCACATGACAGAATTTTGCAACACCAATAACGTACTCATTACAAATCCCTTTTTTGAACAACATAAATGCCAGCTATACAAGTGTACCTAACCTGATGAAATACACAGGAATCAGACTGACTACATCTGTGGAAAGAGGCAATAGAGAAGTTCAATATCATCACTCAGGAGCTGACTGTGGGAACAGACGGTCAATTGTTCATATGCAAGTTCAAGCTGAAGCTGAACAAAATTAAAACAAGTCCACAAGAGCCAAAATATGAACTTGATTATATCCCAACTGAATTTATAGACCATCTGAAGAACAAATTTGACACACTGAATACCAATGACCACAAACCAGATGAGTTGTGGGATGAGATCAAGAAAATCATACATGAAGAAAGCAAAAGGTCATTGATTAGACAGAAAGGAAGAAAAGACCAAAATGCATGTGATAAGAGACTCTGAAACTTGCTCTTGAATGGAGAGCAACTAAAGCAAATGGAAGAAATGATGAAATAAAAGAGCTGAATAGAAGATTTCAAAGGGTGGCTCGAGAAGACAAAGTGAAGTATTATAATGAAATGTGCAAATACCTGGAGTGAGAAAACCAAAAGGGAAGGACCCATTCAGCATTTCTCAAGCTGAAAGAACTGAAAAAAAAAATTCAAGCCTCAAAGTTGCAATACTGAAGGATTCCCTGGACAAATAATATTGAACAATACAGGCAGCATTAAAAGAAAATGGAAGGAATACACAGACTCACTGTACCAAAAGAAATGGTTGATGTTCAACTATTTCAGGAGGAAGCATATGATCAAGAAAGAATGGTACAGAAGGAAGAAGTAGAAGCTGCACTGAAGGAACTGGCAAAAAACAAAGCTCCAGGAATTGAGAGATTATCCACTGACATGTTTTAATAAATGGATGCTGTTCTGGAGGCACTTACTTGTTTATGCCAAGAAATTTGGAAGACATCTACAGTGTAAAACTGACTGGAAGAGATCAATATCTGGGTCCAATCCAAAGAAGGGTCATCCAACAGAATGTGGAAATTATTGAACAATATCATTAATTTCATACGAAAGTAAAATTTTGCTGAAGATAACTCAAAACCACTTGCACCACTGTACTGACAGGGAACTTTCACAACTCAAGCTGGATTCAGAAGAGGATAAGGAATGAAGGATATCATCGCTGATAGCAGATGGATCTTGTCTTAAAGCAAAGAATACCAGAAAGATGTGTACCTGTGTCTTATTGACTATGCAAAGGCATTCAACTGTGTGGATCATAACAAATTATGGATAACATTGAGAAAAATATGAATTCCAGAACACTTAATTGGACTCATATGGAACCTGTACATAGGTCAGGAGGCTATTGTTTGGATAGAACAAGGGAATACTGTATGATTTTAAATCAGAAAAGGGCATGCATCAGGGCTGTATCCTTTCACCATACTTATTCAATCTATATGCTGAGCAAATACCCTGAGAAGCTGGACTATATGAGGAAGAACGTGGCATCAGGATTGGAGGAAAATACTATTAACATCCTGCAATATGCAAATGATACAACCCTGTCTGCTGAAAGTGAAAATGACTTGAAGCATTTACTGATGAAGATCAAAGGCTACGTACAGTCTTCAGAATGGAATGCACATCAACATAAAGAAAACAAAAGTCCTCACAACTGGACCAATAGGCAACATCACAATAAATGGAGAAAAGATTGAACTTGTCAGGGATTTCATTTTCTTTGGATCCACAATCAAGACCCATGGAAGCAGCAGTCAAGAAATCAGATGTTGTATTGCATTGGGAAAATCTGCTGCAAAAGACCTCTTTAAAGTGTTAAAGAGCAAAGATGTCACTTTGAAAACTGAGGTGTGCCTAACCCAAGTCATGGTATTTTCAGTTGTGTCATACGTATGTGAAAGCTGGACAGTGAACAAGGAAGACCAAAGAAAAGTTGATGCCTTTGAATTGTGGTATTGGGTGAAGAATGCTGAAAGTACCATGGACTGCCAGAAGAATGAACAAATCCATCTTGGAAGAAGTGCAGCAAGAATGCTCCTTGGAAATGAGAATGGCCCCTTTCATTTACCCCCATATCCTGCCTCAACAAGTCTCATCGATTTTCTCTCTAAAAACACCTCTTGAATTCATCTACATCACAGCTACCCCTCGAATCCAGAAACAACTCTTCTCATCTTCCATCCTATACTATTCTTTACAGCAAAGCTAAGTGACCTTTTAAAAAGCCAAATATTACTTTAACACCTACAAGATCCTAAATGGGGTTCCCTGCCAATCTCTCTAGTTTTACCTGTACTGAGTACTCTGTGCTCCACACATACTGGCCTTCTTTTATTTTGGGGAATGCCCTATGCATCTTCTGACCAGATACTCAGTGCATGTCATTCACTCTTGCTGAAAGGCTCTTCCACCTTTCTTTTCTTTGGTATCAGCTCAAATATTATTTGTATTAAAATAAAGCCTTGTATGGCTTCCTTAACACAGTCAAAATTTGCAATTATAATTCTTATAGCACATGTATTAGGTGCAGTTACAATTTTACATTTATTCACACATATTTGATTTATGACGGTTTCTTCCATTAAGCTATGAACACAATAAGGACAGGGATGATCTATTTTGTTTATCATTTATGTCCTAGTGCCAAAAACTATTCTTGAGACATAAAGTTGCTGAATAATGAAGTGAATGAATGCTTGTGAATATACTTTAAACTTACTTAACCTTTATTCTATTACTGGATCTTTGGGCTACTAATTTGCCACAAAAATGGTTAAGCACAAGTTCAAAATGGAGTCTCGTCAGTAATCACCATGCTAGTTCCCTCTAGCACCTTAGTGCTTGAAAAAGTAGGTACAGCAGTTTGAATTAGGGATTCTGGTGCTCTGAACAGCTCACTGAGTCAGAGTGCACCAAACTCAGGGGAGTAGAATTAGAAAGGAGAAAGGGACAGAGGAAAAAAATAACAAGATGAGGAGATCTATCCTGCAGAGGGCCAAGCAGCCGAGAAAGGCCATTGGGGACCTACCTACCTAGGGAAGCGCCGACGGGCAGGCAAGAAAGGCCATCCGAGTCCTCCCTGAGTTAAGGAAGAAGACACACCACACCAGCATACCAGCGACCACCCCAAAGATCTACCTTCAGCATCTGATATTATCAGTAACTTGGATCAGCTAGGTGCAAACGGGCATGTAGAGTGCCACTGAAACCCGAGCAGAGAGTCTATAGGTGCTGAAAGAGGGTGGGCCTGGGGAGATGTCCCTGCAGCAGATCACCGATCAGGCTTGGGTCAGCTTAATGGCACTGAGGGGCCTGCGATTGACTTTGTCAGTAATACTGGGACCAGAGGTTATGACCAGGCGCTGGCCTGGCTCCAGCAGAAACTGAGCAGATCTTGGGCACCGTGGATGGGAGGATCCATAGAGGAACTCCCACGGCGGATCGTGGTCTGGGCCGCCAGGTAGTTGTCTTGGGTCGGCCTTCTGGTGCCAAGGGCCCTCGGGAGCAGAGTTTTTGCATGTGTCTGAGCCTGGCAGAAAGGGGCAACCACCTAACAACATGAGTCTTTACTGAAACTGAGCTGCGGGCCTGTGAATAACAGTACAACATCATCATTAGCAGCCAGCTCAAAGCCCTAGAAACAGCTCCTAGCAACAGGGACCTTTCCTTCTTCTGCTCTTCCACTATCACCTTCTCTGCCAATGACCTCACATTTCCAATAGAAGAAACCACATTCAGCCACCATAATACCTCCCGGTTCAAATTCTAAACCCTCTTTATGACAAACAGAAACACATATCCACATTCCACACAGTGATTCCACCATTACAAAGAAAACTGCAGAGCAACCCAGTATATCTGAATTAATAACTAACTAAAATAAAATAAAATACACCAG